CATCCTCCAGTCTCAGCCTCTCAAGTGCTGGGACTTCAGAAACCAGTCATTAGGATCCAGCTTTAAAATGGTGCACTTATATACATGCAGGTAAAACACTCATACACACACAAAAAATTTTTAAATAAAATAAAGCTGTAGATTTCACCACTAACTTATGCCATAATTGAATTCTGCTTTTTTTTCTTTGATTTTGGCCTTGATTTGATTCAGTTTGTTTTTTGTTGTTTGGGACATGAAGTAACAATCTGCTTAAAATTTGAGATTAAAAATACATTCCTTGTAATTGTACATATTTGAAAATTATTGCATTACCCATTGAATAAAGGAAAAAATAGCTTTCTCTAGATTATACCATATACATCTTATACTGAGATACTAAAATCATTTATGACATGATTTAAGTTGGATAGAAGGTCTGGGACAGGAAGGATCTGAGGCTGGTTCCTGACTTTATCCTGATGGTTTAGCCCCAATGTCTATGGCACATGGCAAGGCTGAGACAGGTGGGTGCAACCCTACCTCTCAGAGCTTGAGTATCCCTCCCTGAAGACAGAGGAAGGAGAGTTTCACTGAGGAGTCAGGTGGGTGGGCAAAGCCCAGTCTCATCCTCCAGCGAGGGACTTATACCTATGATGGGCAAGGACAGCCTTGAGGTCCCTAGCTGGGAATGGCTTCAACCATCTGTTGTGGAGAGAACATAGTAGAACAGGGGATCTCAGGTGGAAAGTAAAGGCTTTGGATCCAGTAAAGGTGGAGTAGGGGACTGGTGGCAGGGTCTGCAATGGATTTCAAGTTCAGTCTATGTCAATGAAGATTTAACCTGAAGTTCCTCCATCAGACCACTATGATGCAAGCTATAGTCCCACCTCCTTCCCACACTCTGCAGGAGTCAAGCAGGTTGAAGTCCATACCTTTCCCACCAAGTCAGTTGCCCTTAGCTGCATGAAGGGGAAGAGCTATTGCTGTATTGAGCACAGGGAATGGAGCAGTGAACAGCAGGCGAGCAGGCAAGTGGCTGCATGTGAAAAGCTGGGAGAGACCGGGGGTGGGATACGCTGATGGCAGTGTTTCATGGCTTTGTAAGTCACCCCCTCCCATATGTCAAAAACTATGCAAAACACAAATAGAAGGTATTGTCAGCCCTGAGACCTCAGAGGGCATAGGCGCACAATTTTCCCAAGAAGGGGGAGGAGAAAATTTGACGAAACAATTGGTATAGTGCAGCTGGATAGATGAATCACAGGAGTCCAGGAAAAACATGGGGATATGGGCCTTGGAAAGCATCATGGTTCCAGCAGTATCTGGTGAGCCCATCAGAAGGGAGTTGGGTTCAGGTTCCCAAATCCCAAAGGGTGGAGATGGGCACTGTGAGGCATCCTGTGAGGTAATGTGACCCATCAGAGAGAAGCTGGCAGGAACCCAGGGGAGAGGGTGGCCAACCCCTGTATGCTTAATGGAGTTAGCGGTGGTCATATGGGTTAGACAATGGATTGTAAAATATGTAACTAAAATGACGCGGGCCATGCAGACATGGATGGTCTCAAAGGGGGTAATCTCTGGGTCGCAGCCATCCTGCAAATGTGGGAAAATAGCTCAGTTACTTGAAAAATGGGGGTCACTGCCACATGTGTCTGACAGCTCATTAAGGATTATAGAGAGTCTAGAAAAATTTTTATAAGACTTGGATACAAGAGGGGAATCCTAGAAATTAAAGTATCTAAAGCTGTCCCTCAAATTCAACTTTTAATACAAAAAGAGAAAAAAGTTAATACCATAGCTATGAGAAAATACTCCACACTGGAGCTGTTGGGACTAGGGAAGACTTTCAAACAAGCAATTAAAGAGCCCCTCACCACATGGCTCGCGAGGGTATGGGACATGGGATCAAATAATGTCAGCCTAAGTCCTTCAGAAGCATCTCAGCTGAGTTATATAATTACCCATCCGTCCTTGAGACATAGGCTGCTTAACCTAGGCCAATACAGGAGGGGGCAGTCCCTAATGGAATGGCTTGTGCAAGGTATTAAAGATACATGGTCATCACCAATGAAGACTCCCATGCTTAGAAGGGCTGGAGGACTATAAAAGAGGGACAGGTGTTACTGAGAGAACTAGGTATGAGAAAAGCAATATACAATGCCCAGTTTGCTGGGCCAGTTAGGGCTATGTTCACCAGGGATATAAAAGAAAGCTTAATTCAACTGGGACCTCAAGAAGGGTGTAGAGCTTTAATGGCTTTGCTAAATCTTTTAATGGGACAGGATCTTTGTAAAGTGAGGGAGGCTTTGGCAGATCCAAGTGACTCAAACCAATGTGTAAAATGTGTCTGTAGACTAATAGAAAGATACCTAAAGAAACAAAGGCTAGCTATAGCTATAAGATTCTTGGGAGTTTTATGGTTGGGTAAGATAAAAATAAGGGCTTCCAAAACTATACAATTATTAAGAAAAACTACAGTACCAGGGGTGGGTTTCCCCCCTATGAGCTGTTGCTCAGAGAGAGATCCTAGAGGTCCTCAAATTAACCAAGGCTATTGCCACCAATGTTGGTTGTGTACTAGAAAGGTCGGTAAGGCCATGTTGCTGAAGACACTGCATGATGTGAGCATGGGAGAAGAGATGGAGCCAAGGCTAAGGTTAAAGTTCCATGCCACTGGATGGATGGCTTTCACAGTGCCAAAAGTGTTATACAGATGGTTGGGCGAAAAAGGATCCCCTATTATTCTGCTCAACAATGGACCCCGCTTACTGCACACTATGGACATGCCAAGCAATGCCTGCTAATGCAATAATGGCTCGACTAACATGTGTACAACTGAAAAATTTCTAATGGCATAAGCCCTGCTTCTAGGGGTGGAACACACATCTGGTGCTGTCCCAGCGGGGACACTGCTGCAAGTATACAGGTTAATGAATATGATACACCTACTGGGAAATCTTCTAGGTGTTTGTATTTACATTCATGTTTGTTGAGATTTGTTCACTTCCTTCCATTTGTTTTTATAGTAGGGGAAACACCACTGGGATAGATCAATGGCCATGTCTTGAAGACAGATGATGGGGAAGCCCAAGAAGTCAATATCTCACTGTGATAACAGAGAGATCACCCTGAATCTGCCATCCCCTCCAAGTCTCAGGGAACTTCACGGAAGAGATGGCAGAAAGTTTGTAAGAGCCAAAGGAAAGGGGTGGAGTGTAGCCCCCAAATCATTCATTCTTCCAAAAAGAGTGGGCAACTGGGGGCACCCTGGGAAAAGGGGTGGAGCCACAGCAATATTGGAACTCAGAGCAAAGTGTGCAGCCCCTGGGGGTCAGTGGCAAGGCATCCCATCTGTCCCATGGGCTCTGCAGGGCAAGATGAGGTACTCAGTGGGGTGAGATGGTGCATGGGCATAGCTCACAAAAGCTGATGGAGACTATGGGTGGGGCTTGAATGCACATGGGTTATGAGAAGCTGTTCTTTGTAAGTCACTCCCTCCCAGAATTCATAAACTGTGCAAAACCCAAATCGAACTGTGTTAGGTTAGTTTTGTTAACGAGCATCAGGACCAGGAGACCTGGTGACTGAGGGCCGGCCTCCTAGAGAGCGGGTAGGGGAAAATTTAATGAAACACTCTGCATCCTGAGTGCTAGGATTAAAGGTGCATGTCACCACTCTGGGCCATGGAATGACTTATGTAAAGAATCTTCTTGATCCATGTACTCCTCTTGTGACATGGATATATGACCTTAATTCCTCATGATCTTACCTTGCCCTCTACCCAAGATAGTGTATGAATGTGTGTTTATGCTTTACATATCAAAGCACTTCAAGCAGCTCCTTTTCTCATTGCAAACAATCAGAGAAATTGAGAAGTTTGTAGTTGTGCATATTCTAGGTCTAGGGATCAAAGTGTAAGATTCTCTAACATGGGTGTCTGACTTTTACTTCCTCATTTCATGCTGGTGATACTGTTTCAATAAAGAATGAGCAAAGCCTTTGCTCAGGAGTACAGTTTCAAGAATTCTGAAGGAAAAGGTTTTCAGCAGTTCAGGTCTGCTCTTAGCTTTAAAATGTATGTGGAGTCAGAATGTCTCTTTTTTATTGCATAGCCATAATTTGGCTTAAAAATGGCTCATCTAATACTTTACCTAGAATGACCTGAGGCTTATACCTTTTCAGGGGTTCTAATCTCATAAAGACCCAGATAGAATTCTCCAGTTGCAGAAAACCAGAAGTCCTTTGAAACTACTGCTGACCTTAGCTACCTCTGAGACTGCTACTAACCTTATTGAGCAATCACACCTGAATAAGTCACTTCTGGAATTCAGGGGAAACTGTTTGAGACTGCCTGTTGCTAAAGATAGCCTGTCTTTTTGAGCCAGTGACTCCAGGAGAATAAGACATGTAGACCCCTACAGCTGCCTCTGTTTCCACATGCCCTAGCCCCTATTTGATAACTTTCCCCTTTCACAGTACAGTTGCTTCCATTCTGCAGGAAAGCTGCTGTCACTCACTGTGCTTGAATAAACACAGTCTTGTCCTGTTGAAGGTCTAGCACTTGTCTATTTTCCTGACTCCTCTTTCCTTCCTGCTCTCTAAATTCTAGTGTACCCGAGCTGAGAATATGAGGTCCCTCCCGTCCTCTTGAACTTTTCTGCTTTCAGTGATAAAGGTGGAATGAAGTGCTTGGATTTTGGATTTGTTTAGAGACAACATTTATTAGAGTAGCAATTTTTTTAAAAAAAGAGCATGGAGGGTACTGGTGTGGGAAAGAACTGAGAAAAATCCCTCGAAAACCCTGTTTTTTCTATCTCATCTCCTGTCGTGAATGGAGATTTGTTTAATCAACTATTTCTAATTACTTAGAAATAATGATACCCTGAGTGTGGAAGATCAGTAGACTCCTCTAAAGCCTCATTAGAATACGGGTAGGGAGATGTTTAGTGGCCACATTTGTTTCACTGTGGCTGTTGAGATGTAGTTTTAACGCTAATAACTTTCTCATTCTTGTAAAACTAAGGCTTCTCCCCTGTGTGCGTCCTCCGGTGCCTGGTGAGGGTTGCCTTCAGTGTAAAGCCCCGCCCACAGTCCCTGCAAACTTAGGGCTTCTCCCCTGTGTGCGTCCTCTGGTGCCGGATGAGGTTTGCCTTCAGTGTAAAGCCCCGCCCACAGTCCCTGCAAACTTAGGGCTTCTCCCCTGTGTGCGTCCTCTGGTGCCGGATGAGGTTTGCCTTCTGTGTAAAGCCCCGCCCACAGTCCCTGCAAACATAGGGCTTCTCCCCTGTGTGCGTCCTCTGGTGCTGGATGAGGTTTGCCTTCCGTGTAAAGCCCCGCCCACAGTCCCTGCAAACATAGGGCTTCTCCCCTGTGTGCGTCCTCTGGTGCTGGATGAGGGTTGCCTTCCGTGTAAAGCCCCGCCCACAGTCCCTGCAAACATAGGGCTTCTCCCCTGTGTGCGTCCTCTGGTGCTGGATGAGGGTTGCCTTCCGTGTAAAGCCCCGCCCACAGTCCCTGCAAACATAGGGCTTCTCCCCTGTGTGTGTTTTCTGGTACACAATGACATTTGACTTGTCACTGAAACCTTGCCCACATTCTCTTGCAATAGTTGTGGTTTCTACTCCAATAAATAATTTGCCTGTGTCCTCTGGGTTTATTTTCTGGCCGGTTCTGAGTTCTTCTTTCATTGTTCTCTCACTTTCCTCAGATTTCCTCATTTGTCCTTTGAGCGGCCTGGGAAAGACCATTGAGATCCTCTGCCTTTTATGGGTGGGTCTGGACTTTCCTTTGACCTCTTGACTTCTGGCTTTGTCATTTCTGCTGTGTGGATCCGAATGTTGCTGCTCCTGAAGCTGACCTGGACCAGAATCCCCTGGCTTAAAGTTTGTCATTGCAGATGCTCCTGGGAAGATTTGAGAGGGATGAGTTCCTTCCACATGTTGACTGAGGAATTTCTGACTGGAGAAGGCCAAAGAGCACAAAAGACAAGGATGGATCTCTAACTTTGGTTCTGCTGAAAGAGGAAGTGTTTTGTCAGGGTGGATATAAATACACTGTCTAGGCATCTGATTTTCTGTTGTGATCAGGCCCATTTCACCAGTCTTCATGTGTTAACAATACAAGCTCAGTTGGTGTGGTGGCTCACATCTGATCACTTTTGCTTCAAGGCCAACCTGGGCTACAGAGTGAGACCCTGTCTCAAACAACAGCTAACACAGGCTGTCTCCCAGATGCATAAAGCCATAATGCCTTTTCTACCTATCAGCTAGATTAGGGGCCTCCCAGTAGGATCAGAGGCAGCTTTACCCATGGCATAAATGGAGCCACAGTGACTGTGCCTTACAAACTACAAGCATCTTCTAGAGCATATGCTATCTTCCTCAGCTATCCTCTGTCACAGCCAGGTGCACTCGCTCAGATCCTTGAACACTTCCCCCATGCACTGTTTGTAGTTATTTTATTCTATTGAGAAATAACAACACTTCCTGACTTAAGTGTAATCTCCCTTAGTAATTTTTCCTAAGAAAGGAGATATTGGTCTACCCAGACCTGGCCCAAAGATCAACAACCGTGAATGGCTGGGTAGACTTGTTTTAGTGTTTGTTTTGGTTTGTGTGTGTGTGTGTGTGTGTGTGTGTGTGTGTGTGTGTGTTGCTGTGGTTTTTTGTTTTGTTTTGTTTTTTGAGATAGGCTCTGTATCCCTAGCTTGCCTGGAACTCACTATGTAGATCAGGCTGACCTCGAACTCACAGAGCTCTGCCTGCCTCTGCCTCCCAAGTCCTGGGATTAAAGGTGAAAGGGCTAGTAGGTACTTAAGAACTTATTTTTGGCCTCTAAATCTTATAGCATTATATGTTGTTATATATTTTGTTCATGAAGTATATAAAAATTAGAATATTTAAAAGCATACAGATGTTTTAATAATATTTAAAGTTACACAAAATGAATCTTTAATTTCAGAAGTGCCTGATTTTCAGAAGTACCTGAAATTTTACTGACTTTAAATTTCATTTCACTCTGCTTAAGAGTTGAAACATAGGCCAGGCATTGTGGCACATGTTTTAATCCCAGCACTTGGGAGGCAGAGGCAGGTGGATCTCTGTGACACTGAGGCTAACCTGGTTTACATAGTGAGTTCCATGCCAACTGGGGCTACAGGGAGTCCCTGTCTCAAAAAAACCCAAAACAACAACAAAGGAACAACCATACCAAACAAAAGCAAAACAACACCACACACAAAAAAGAGTTGAAATATTCAAATTCTCAAGGAGAATTCCTTCTTTCATTTCTTTTTAAGGAACTATAGTGGTACCTACCTCTCCCTGCTATGAATTCTTTCTTCCTCTTGCTTCCCCACTTAATGCCCAGCTCCTGGCCATACTCATCTCCATACCAGACCAGAAGCTCACTGCCTGGCCTGATGACCCTGCAGGTTCTGTAAAAGATCTGCCTGTGATACTGAAAGGCCACCAGGTTCTGCTCATCATCGTCACGAGCACAGTTCACATATCTAGAGTAGAGACAAAAGGAAGGAAATACTAGGTAGTCAGTTCTGTTCCTGCATCTGACCCCTTCCTTGGTGGTCAATGCCTCTATGTCCTGATGCTTACAATCCCCTTGCCACTTCTCAAAGAACCTCTGTTCTCATCTACATACCTTTCACAAGGTTATATATACCCTAGCTATTAAGTCCTGCTCACAATGCTTATCTGTCCCAGAATGCTTTCCTCTAAGGGCCCAGTTTTCAAAGCTCAGTTCCAGATGTCTATCTTTACTGGCCGTAAAACACAGTAATCTCTGCTTCTCTAACTCTAGATTAATTTCTGGCTCATATCACAGAACTTGGTGTTATTTATACACTCTGCTTCTAGATTAACACACTTCATTGTACACTGATCCCAAGTCTTGTTTTGTTTTGAAAGGCCTCCCTACTATCTGCCCATGGCCAACGGAAACTTAAATATCTCTTTCTCTTAGTAATATAACACAGAAAAATAGGGCTGGGGATATAGATCCTTTGGTAGTGTGCCTGCCTAACATATATAAAGCCCTGGTTCAATCCCCAAAACCGCATAAAACTGAGTATTGTGGTGCATGCCTATACTTCTAACCCCAGTATTCAGAGAATGAGGTCAGAAGGATCAGAAGTTTAAGTCCATCCCTGGCTACACAGTGAGTTTGAGGCCAACCTGGGCTACATGAGGCTTTGTCTCAAAACAAAAAACAAATTAAAAAACCAGAAAAATGTCAGTTTATGGAGCTGGAGAGGTGGCTCAGCAGTTAAGAGCACTGAATGTTCTTGTGTTTTGGTTGTTAGCCTTAATCTTTAACAGCTGCACTATCCCTCCAGCCCTCACTGGATGTTCTTGCAAAGTAGCCAGGTTCAATTCCCAGCACCCACATGGTAGCTAACAACTGTCTGTAACTCCAGTTCCAGGGGAATCCAATGCCCTCTTATGACCCCCATGGGCATTGCATGGCACGGGTACACTTACACACACGCAGGCAATACACGCATACATGTAAAATAAAAATAATAAATGAAATAAAAAAAATTTTTACGTGTATGCGTGTATTGCCTGCTTGTAGTTAAGCGCACCCGTGTTGTGCAATGCCCGAGGAGGTCAGAAGAGGCTGTTGGATCCCCTGGGACTGGAGTTACGGACAGTTGTTAGCTGCCATGTGTGTGCTGGGATTCGAACCCAGGTCTTCTGCAAGAACAACCAGTGTTCTTAACTGCTGAGCCATCTCTCCAGCCCATAAATGAAATATTTTTTAAATAATAATAAAATGTTTAAAAAATAGCAGTTTATTTATATTTCCTATCCTCTGATTAAGCAAAACTCCCTCACAGAAAGGGTCTGGAGTACACAGCATCAAGACCTCTGACCTTCTAGAACCCTGAAGATAGGGAGATATCCTGCCCTCAAAGACTAAAGATTCTTTGTTGTAAGTTATCTTGGTACTGTGTACGTCTCAAAAAATAGGAAAATTAGCATAAAATTTTCCTGTAATAAAATATGTGTAATACGCCTTATAACTTGTAAAGACAAACATACTTACTTGAAAGGACACAAGTTTACCTGCTCAAGCACCGAAATCTATTTTCTGAACTGGAATATAAAATGAAAACATCATAAATGTTGACTAACACATAAACCCAGTGTTCTCAGTGAATTTGGGCTCCTTAAGTTTACTTTTGTGTCCCAGTTTGGATGAGCAGGAGATTTTATGTCTTGATAAAAGAAAATTATAATATTAATATTTTTTTCCTGACTGTTCACAGTATAAGAGCATTGTGCAGAGATAAAGAAGAGCAGAGCCATTGAGGGAGTCATGATGAAAAGGAATGAAACCAGCCTTGTTGGGGACAAATATCCTTTCTGGAACCCAGAAACCTACTGGCCTTACCTCATCCAATTGCCCTGGGACTCATCCTGTCCATCCACATACTCGTAGCAGTTCCTGCCCTTGGTGATCTGAGTTTCGGAAAAACAAGTTAAGGCTCTGGGGTGCCAATCATGGAATCATGTCACCCATTCTCATCAATGCTAGACTTTATGGATTCAGTCACCCATTGTAACCCCACGGGATGCTCCTGAGTCATTGTATACACATCTGTCTTCTTTGTCTCTATACCACTCTACTTCCACTCACCTTCAGATCCTGAAGCATGACTTTCATGTTTGTAAAGACCAGCACACAGTACTAGGCATGTTGCCCCTGCCTAGCCTATTCTAGCATGTCACACCAGAAGCACAGAAGGGATGTGTGGAATCAGAGGATGAAGGAAAGGAGGCATTTCTTACCAGCCAGGAGTATCCACTGTTGGCTGCCTCTTCATCCTCCATGATCTGGCCCTCATAGGGACCAAAATGCAGACCCAGTGGCAGATCAGATGTCTCATTCCATACTCCAAGCCCAGCCTCAGGGATGCCTGATGGTCCAATTCTCAGGCCAGGGGGCAGACTGAGGGCTGAGTGGTTGGGATGCCCCTTGGCCACCACACTGTCCTTTACAAATGTAGGAGGCCCATGGGCAGGGCAACTGTTGATGAAGAAGTTCTGGCACTTCTCACAATCTGAGGTAAATACAACAGGGATTAGGGAAGGGTTGTGAACATTCCTAGATCTAAGATCTTCTGAGGGAATACAGCACTTATGTTATTCTCTCTCAATTCTGTACCCTAAGTCACTAGAGTAGAGATAATCTGGGGGTCAAATGACCAGATGAATTATTCTTTCAGGACATAACAGTCTACTACATGAGCAAGGCCTGAGGGCCACTTACAGAGGTAGTCATCATCCTGGGGCTCGCTGACCTCTTCATATGCATGACCCTTTCTTTCTCGAAGACTGTACATCTTCACTTCAACAGTCTTTCTCTTGAGTTCTGCATTGGAGAGCAAAGTTGAGAAAAGTTGTGAATCTGGAGTGTTTGTCCCTGTTTCTTTAGAAAAATGTGAAATTTGCTGGGTGTCGTGGTGCACACCTTTAATCCCAGCACTCAGATGGATCTCTGCGAGTTGGAGGCCAGCCTGGTCTACATAGTGAGTGCCAGGCCAGTTGCGGGCAATAGGGAGACCCTGTCTCAGTTAAAACTCACCCCCCCCCAAAAAAAATGAGAGAAAGAAAAAGAAAAGAAAAATGTGAAATTTACTGCTATAAAATTATCTTGTATTATTCTATATACTCTGCTTTACCTTTAACTTTTTTTAAAGACAGGGTCTCCCTGTGCCTCCAACTAGCCTGGAACTTGCTGTATAGACAAAGTTGGCCTAGCTCTCACAGATCTCTGTCTCCGCCTCCTGATACTGACTTCCCTTTAGCTTTTGGTTTAGGGAGATGAAGACTCTACAGTCAACTGACTACTGATACTTAATTCAATTTTAATTTTGGCTTTTCAGGTTTAACTTCTGCTTGCCCAAACTTTCTATTTTACAAAAATGTGTCATTCATATATTTATTCATCCAGAAAATGTTTGTTGAGGGCACACTGCACATTAGGCATTGAGCAAAAGGTTTGGTGTACATCACTGGGAATGTGTGGTCCCTATTGCCACAGAGGAATTTATTGAATACCTTGCCTGGATCACTTATTTTATATTTAACCTACTATTTTCAAACAACATATGAGCTACACATCCTTATTTGCACAGATTAATATTCAGAAGCTCACAGAGCTTATAAGATTTGCCCAAGACTGAGTACCTCCATGTGAGTAATAATTCAATTATATGACTTCAAAGTTCATATTCTGACATGTTACTTAATAACATACCCACTACCAATGCCACAGCTTCGTTCAGACCAAATCCAGACATATCTGAAGTCTGCTACACATATCTAGGCCATTCTCATCAACCTTCCTAGATAATCAGAGGTACCAAAGTTCCCAGATTATTTTTTCTTACTCAGTTTTTGTCCAGAACGTTGTCCAGAGGTATTTCCTTCTCCAGGAGAGGACACAGGTTCTTGGGCATGTTCTGAGCCACTTGTGTTGAAAAAATTTGCTGTTCCCGACAATTTCTTCAAATTAGATTCACTATTTAATGGTATTCTTGGAATTTCCTTTAATGAGAGTCACATATGAAAACACAACAGACATCTGTGTAGTTCTTTATGGCTTGCAACATGTTTTCATGTGCATGACTTTAACAATCCTTGGGAACATGTGAGGTATCTGACTATAGAAGGGAAAGGAAGAACCTAAGTGGGCTGTGAATCCAGGATAAGAGCCACATTCCAAGGCTCTCTTCCTTCAGGTTTCTTTCAAGATGGAGGGAGGGATAATGTTTGGGAAGACAAGCTGGAGAGTCAAAAAAGTTTGTGAAGGAAGAGGGTAAGGCTTGTAGAAAGAAAGAGACCATCTCTATAAAACAGGAGACATTTGATGGGATGAGAAATGTAGAACATGGAGCTGGGACAAAACACACCTAATACAGTGAAATAACAGAGCAGAGCAGTGACTCTGGGGAGAGAAAAGAGATAGCTGGTCAAAATGTATCTGGACAATCAAGTAAGTGATGCTAAAATTGACGTACTGGAAACAGTTGACTCTGGAATTAGTTTTGTTTGTTTGTTGGAGAAAGGGTCTCACTATAGGCTGGCTTCAAACCCATAGTATTTTCCCTACGTCGGTCTCCCAAGCTTGAATTATAGACGGGAGCCAACTATGCCTGGTTTGATGCTGAAATTAGATTAACTGATTCTTGTACTAATTTTGTTCAAATAAGGATGTGCCATTCACTCTTTTTCTCCAGTGCTCTTATCCATAAATCAGCATACATGCTAATTCTCGATGTGATACTGATACATGTGCTACTGAATTCAGTATTGATGTACTTCTCTTGTGGTCCTGCTATCAATTTACTTTCTCATTGATTTCTACAGCAGAAATTTAACTCAAAAAATGTTTAACATTTTTTACCTTGTTCTATCTAGTTTAATTTTTAAATTTGGGATTACTTATTCAGAAAACATTGAGAGTCCCTTTGGATCCTGTGACTTCTGAGAAAAACCAGTTATGGACCAGCATCCTCGGGAGCTTGCATGGAGCTCGCATGCCAAGGCAACAGCTAAACAAATGATTCCTACCAATGGAAGAGCTGTCTAACTGAATCCCAGAGGAGGAGCCGATCCTGTTTGTCATGGAATGAACATGTGAAACCCAGGCTGCCTCGCAAATGCTGGAGTTGCAGTCGTGCACCACCATGCCCAGCATAAGTTATTTGCATATTTGTGGATCTTCAGATATCAAACGTGAACCTTTTTGTTTTTGTTTTTTTGAGACATTGTCTCCCTGTAGCCCCAACTGGCCTGGAACTTGCTATGTAGACCAAACTGGTGAATCCTCAGAAATTCGCTTGCTTCTGCCTCCTAAGTTCTGGGATCAAAGGTGTGTGCCACCAAACCCAGCCAAACTTGAAGTTTAACGCTATCTTTCTTAGAGCTATCCTACATACATATCCTCTGTGTATTTGTAAACTATAGTATCTTAGTTTATCTTTTGCTTTGACCTAGCAGAGAAAAACTGATATTGTAACAATGAGGTGAATGGTATGAAAACAGTTAATACTATGACTTTACAATACTATGAAAGTTTTAAAGAGCTTGTAAGTCCTTTAAAGAAAGACTTTTGGAATTGGCTATACCACTACTTACTAAACATTCACTAGCTGCATCATAGGGGTGTTAAAATGTTCAAGTGAGTTTATTAATGTAAAATGCTTATAGTCTGAAATATTGTGAAAATAAAACAAATGCTTGTTACTACTGTTGATGTTCTTGTTAATTCAAATCATAAGGTTGAGAGACACTGGACAGAAGAGACTAGGGAGGCAGTAGTTTCCAGGATACTCTGTGCCTTCTATTGTCTTACCTGCATGTGGATCCATGAAGAAAGTTTTCTTGTCTGTAGGATTTGGGAAGTACTCACCTTCTGTTGTTTAGTCTGCTCCACTCTGAAGGCCACCCAAGGAGGACTGACTGAAATGTGATGAGAAATCACTTTTGGTTAGTAAATGTTTCCATACTATTATCAGTAACAGAGAAATATGAATAAGAGAGTAAAGACTCCAAGGATGACCCAAAGGTAGTATGGAAATGGTTTATTTAAAAAAAAATTTTATTGACATTTGAGAATTTCATATAATTTATGTTAGCTGGGCATGGTGGCACACAGCTTTAATCCTAGCACTCGGGAGGCAGAGGCAGGCAGATCTCTATGAGATCCAGGCCAGTCTGGTTTACATACCTAGTTCCAGGCCAGTTGGGGTTACAGGGAGACCCTGTCTCTAAGGAAAAAAAATCATATACTGTATCTTGATCATATTCAGACTCTACCCACCTCCACCTCTACCTTACTTCTCCCTTCCACTTCATGTCCTCTTTTTTTTTTTTTTAAGGGCTATTGAATCTAATTTGGAAATGGTTTCTTAAGTATCATTAAGATCTATCCATCTGTTGGGGGAATTGGCGAGCTTCTTTAAATTTCTTCAAAAAATAGACAAAACTCTTGTTTCATCTTGTGTTCATAAGCTATCTAATTGCATTTATTTTCAAATATATAAGTTGATTGGTTTGTGATGAGAAAAAATTGAATAACCAGGAACAGGAAGAAATTACCTACACACAAAAACAAGTTAATATTCAGTATCCTTCTCAATGCTGAAAAATTGGAAGTCTTTCCTATAGGATCACAACAGGCATGCACAGGTTCCCATTCTTTTTATTTTTATTTACTTGTTTTGGTCTTTTTGAAACATGGTCTCCCTGTAGCCCCAGCTGGCCGGGAACTCACTACATAGGCCAGGCTGACTTGGAACTCAAAGAAATCCACCTGCCTCTGCCTCCTAAGTGCTAGAATGAAAGGTGTGTGTCACCACACTTGGCCACAAATTCCCATTCTTACTATTTCTATTCACCATAGTATTGGAAGTCCTAGATATAGTTAAATAGGCAAGAAAAAGAAAGAGAAGTCATCTAACTTGGCAAGAAGTAACTTACATTGTCTTGTATATAGAAAACCCTAACAATTCCCCTAAAATTGTTCAGAATTAATAAGTCCAACAAAATTGCAGGATATAAAATGAACACTTAAAAATCTGTTCTATAACAACAATAAATAATCTAGGGAGGAAATTTTTTTACCTTTTTTTTTAAACTTAAAAAAAAATTTTTATGAGCTGGGTGTGGTGGCTCACGCCTTTAATCCCAGCACTCGGGAGGCAGAGGCAGGTGGATCTCTGTGAGTTCAAGGCCAGCCTGGTCTACATAGTGAGTTCCAGGACAGCTGGGGCTACAGGGAGACCCTGTCTCAAAAAGACCAAAAAAATTTATTTATTTATTATTTTATTTTTTTATGTGTATGTGTATGTTTCCTGCATGAAAGTAAGTGTGCCCATGTCATGCAATGCCCGCGGATGACAGAAGAGACTGTCAGATCCCCTGGGACTGGAGTTACAGACAGTTGTTAGCTGCCATGTAGGTGCTGGGATTCAAACCCGGGTCTTCTGCAAGAACAACCAGTGTTCTTAAGTGCTGAGCCATCTCTAGCCCCCAGGGAGGAAATTTTAAAAGAGCCCTACCTACAATAGTTAAAAGGATAAAATATTTAGTAGTAAACTTAACCAAGGGTGCAAAAGATTTGAACACCAGAAACTACAAAACATTTTTGAAAGAAATTAAAGAAGATTCAAAGAAATGGAAAAAAAATCATATGTTCATGTATTAGAAGACAATGTTCATATTATACAAAATGACCTAGATATCCAATGTATTCCCTATTAAAATGTTAATGCCATAGTTTGCTGAAATTTTTTAAAATGTCAAAATTAATATAGGATCATAATGAAGTCAGAATAGCCAAGATAATCTTGAAAAAGAACAAAGATGAAGATAATTCAATATGGATTAAAGATCAAAACCCAAGTAAGGTAAGAAACTATAAAACCACAGAAGAAAACAAGAGAAAATCTTCATAACATTGGAATCAGAATTGATTTCCCGGATATAACATCAAAACCATAAACAACAAAAGCAAAAATAGAGAAATAGGACTGTATTAATCATAAAACCTCTGTGCATCAGAGGAAACAATAAATGGGAAAGTAACCTAATGAATAGAAGAAAATATTTGCAAACTGTATATCTAGTAAGGGGTTAATACATAGAATATATAAAGGACTGCTGCAACTCAACAACCACATCAACACAAACAACTCAACTACAAGTGGGTAATGTGGCTGAAAATAATGAGTAATTAGAATAAGATGAGGTCTCAAGGGTGGGGTCCTGTGATAGGATGAGTGTTTTATAGGAAGAGAGAGATCCTCCTCACCTCTACCTGAGCTGTGAACACATAAAGAGTTTATGTGAGTAAATAATGAGGTGGAGGTTACCTACACACAAAGAAGAAAGCTGTTGTTGAAACCTGACCATCATGGCACCCTCATTTTGGATATTCAGTTTCTAGACTGTAAGAAATTAATTTCTGCTTAAGAAACTGAGTGCATGGGCTGGAGAGATGGCTCAGCATTTAAGAACACTGACTGTTCTTGCAGAACACCTGGGTTCGAATCCCAGCACCCACATGGCAGTAACAGCTGTCCATAACTCCAGTTCTAGGGGATCCGACAGCCTCTTCTGTCCACCACGGGCATTGTATGACACAGGTGCATCCTACATGCAGGCAATACACACATACACATAAAATAAAAATAATAAATAAAATATTTTTTAAAAAAGAAACAGTGCATAATATTTTGTTATGGCAGCTTCAGCTGACAAATATAGTGAGTGGAGGTCTTGAACACGGTTCTACAGAGATAGATGAGTGGCCAACAAGCATAGGAAAAAGTGCTCAACATCATTAATCACTAGGGAACTGCAAATTGAAATCTCATTGACATATTTTTTACTCTTCAGGATGCCTATTTATATTTTTTAAAAAAACAACAGAAGTATTAGCAAAGATGAGGGAAAATTGGATGCCTTGATCACTTCTGGTAGAAATGTAAAATGCTGCTGCCAGAAATAGTAAAGCCCTCAAATGCAAAAATAGAATTATGATTCAATCTGGATTCTTTATGTATAGATTCAAAAGTAAAAACCAGCTATTGAAGAGATATTTGCATCTCCATGATCATATCAGCAAATAATAATAAGCGAGAGGCAGAATAGCCAAGAGTAGATGATAACCGTTCTGGGTTTGACCCTTTTTTTTTTTTGTCTTTTTGAGACTGGGTTTCCCCGTAGTCCCAGCTGGCCTTGAACTCACAAGAGATCCTCCTGCCTCTGCCTCCGGAGTAGGTTTGACATTTCTTGTTCACATCCTGATTTTTATATATTTTACACTTATTTGTATGTAAATAACATAATTTTTCCACATATTTAAAAATGTATAGAAATAGCTTCTTATTGTCTACATTTCCTTGCATCTTGCTTGTTTGCTGACCTTTGGGTCTTTGAAAAAAATTTTCAGACATTAATTCTGAGGCATTTCTGAAACCTAAAGCAGTCTGGCTTTAAATGGTGACTTCTAAGTTCTTTTGGTTCCTGACCTTGCCGCCTAGGTGTCCACTCTTCATCAGAATCCTCAGTGTCATTTGGTTGGGGCTTGATTGCTTGCCTTTGGTAACACATAAAAGCTGGTCTAGGGGCTCTGAGACCTGAAAAGAAGCAAACATTTCCTCTTCAAAAGGAAGCAGGGGGCCTGGAGAGATGGCTCAGCAGTTAAGAGCACTGGCCCCTCTTGCAGAGGCCCCCAATTCAATTCCCAGCACCCACATGGCCGCTAACTCCAGTTCCAGAATATCTGATGCCTTCTTCACAGGCATTGCATGCACATGTTGCATTTACATACATGCAGGCAAAACACTCATACACATAAAATAAAAAAATAATAAAAGGAAGAGCAGGGGGCAGGGGGAGGACTGGATAGATGGCTCAAGAGTTAAGAGCACTGGCTGCTGTTCCATAAGACTGGGATTCATTCCCAGCACCCAAATGGTGGCTAACAACCATCTGTAGCTCCAGTTCCAGAGGATCTGACACCTTCTTCTCACCTCTGTGGGCATTGCATACATGGGTGGACTAGCTTGTAGGCAACACATAAATACAAAATAAAAATAAATATTTTTTAGAAAGAAGCAGGCCTTAGAGGAAAGAACAAAGGATGGTGGCAAGGGAAAGTACAAGTCCAGGTGGGCTCTGGGAGTGGAGAAAGGATCTCTGCACAGCCAGTGCTGGCTTTCAGCCTTCCACTGACAGAAAAGTACAAAGTTTTTCCCTCCAAACTTGTCTCCATACAAAAGGGAGCTATGCAGAACAGCAACCTAACACAGGGATTGTAGACTTGGTTCTACCTAGGCTGGTCTGACCCAGGACCTCTTGTTACCTATAGAAATCAGCATTTTATAGTTCCTTTTCACATTCCTATAGCGGATTTTCTCCCACTGTCCCATCTCTGCCCATTCTTCCTTGGAGAAGTACATGGAAATGTCTTTGAACTCATCTTTGACCTGAAGGGAAATAACAACAGAGCATACATAATAGAGCAGGCAGGGCAGGGCACCCGAGGTCTCAGTGATCACGATTTTCCTTCCTTCACAGAAGCCTGTTTAAGCAAACCATGGACATCTTCGGTCTCTGCTGACAGAGCAGTTGCTAATATGCCTTCTTGTCTCACCCTAACCCACCATCCTGTCGCATGCACTGTCACTGTCGTAGGAAGATGGCTATGGGTGTAGGCCAGAAGTCTGTGGTCCTCAAGGCCACCTGTTTGCCTCCGCACCCCCCACTCTCCCGTTGACCCTTCCCTGGACGATCTTGATCTACCTTGGGCTTCCACTGGAGTTGCCCCGCATCTCCCTCTGGGCGCTCCTCCTCCATCATTTCCCTGTGGAGGGCCAGGGGGCTGTGGTCCTGCAGATGGAAGTAACTAAGGGTCATGGTCCAGCAGAGGCCGGCCAGACGATGAGGATCCACGACGGTCAATGAGGCTTTTTTTTCAGCCCTCAGATTAACTGGCTGAGCAAGAAGCAGCGGGTCTGGAGGAGTCCTGAACCCAGGTGCTACCTCAGCTCCTCAGCGCTTCAGTTCCAGCCCCTCAGCCCCTGGGCTCCTCGGCTCCTCTGCTCCTCGGCTCCTCAACCCCTCAGTTCCAGCCCCTCAGCCCCTCGGCTCCTCGGCTCCTCTGCTCCTCGGCTCCTCAGCCCCTCAGGTCCCGCCCCTCCGCCCCGGCCCCTCCGCCCCTCGGCTCCTCGGCCCCTCGGCTCCTCGGCTCCTCGGCTCCTCTGCTCCTCGGCTCCTCAGCCCCTCGGCCCCTCAGCCCCTCGGCTCCGCGGCTCCTCACCCCTCGGCTCCTCGGCTCCTCGGCTCCTCTGCTCCTCGGCTCCTCAGCCCCTCGGCCCCTCAGCCCCTCGGCTCCGCGGCTCCTCACCCCTCGGCTCCTCGGCTCCTCGGCTCCTCTGCTCCTCGGCTCCTCAGCCCCTCGGCCCCTCAGCCCCTCGGCTCCGCGGCTCCTCACCCCTCGGCTCCTCGGCTCCTCGGCTCCTCTGCTCCTCGGCTCCTCAGCCCCTCGGCCCCTCAGCCCCTCGGCTCCGCGGCTCCTCACCCCTCGGCTCCTCGGCTCCTCGGCTCCTCTGCTCCTCGGCTCCTCAGCCCCTCGGCCCCTCAGCCCCTCGGCTCCTCGGCTCCTCGGCTCCTCAGCCCCTCGGCCCCTCAGCCCCTCGGCTCCTCGGCCCCTCGGCTCCTCGACCTCTCAGTTCCAGCCCCTCAGCCCCTCAGCCCCTCGGCTCCTCGGCTCCTCGGCTCCTCAGCCCCTCAGTTCCAGCCCCTCAGCCCCTCAGCCCCTCGGCTCCTCGGCCCCTCGGCTCCTCGACCTCTCAGTTCCAGCCCCTCAGCCCCTCGGCTCCTCGGCTCCTCAGCCCCTCGGCCCCTCAGCCCCTCGGCTCCTCGGCTCCTCAGCCCCTCGGTTCCAGCTTCTCAGCCTCTCGGTTCCATCCCCTCAGCCCCTCGGCTCCTCGGCTCCTCAGCCCCTCGGCTCCTCGGCTCCTCAGCCCCTCGGTTCCAGCCCCTCAGCCCCTCGGCTCCTCGGCTCCTCAGCCCCTCGGCTCTTCGGCTCCTCAGCTCCTCAGCCTGGTGGGGTAGTCCCTGAGTCGGTGCGCCAGCTCTTGGGTGGAGAGCTGCTCTCAGACCAAGAGATTCAGAAATCCTGGGGCCAGGGCATTGAGGTCCCTCCAGAGGAGTTTTGGGGACCCTCAGGCTGAGAATTATAACTCAGGGTCCCTCGGGTTGAGGAGATTGGGGTTCTTCAAGCTGAGGGATTTGGGGTTTCTCAGGTATAAGAGTTTCTCAGGCTCTAAACAATTGGGGTTCTTTGGGACAAGGTGATGTGTTCATGTCAAGAATTGGGTTCATCGGGTTGATGTTATTTAGGGTCCTTCTGGATGCATTTTGGATCTTGGAAGCTGAGGGGACTTAGAGTCTCAAAAAGGCAACAGGTCATTGGTGCTGAGGGTCTTTGGGTGTCTCTGAGGCTGAGGAGATCCTAGGCTGAGGAGACAAACTACGCTGAGACCCACTAACGTGAGGTGACTCACTGCTCTAAGGAGAATCACTGTGCTGAGGAGAATAGGCTGAGGAGACCTCACTACGCTGAGGAGACTGGATAGGCTGGGGAGACCCAACTACGATGACAAGAATACCCTAGGAAGAGGTGGCCCCTGCACAAGCATCTCGGGCTTCTCAAGCCAAAGGACGGTGGTTCTGCAAAGGACGTCTGGGCTAAGCCGTGCTAGGGTTAGGGTCAGGGTCAGGGTCAGGGTCAGGGTCAGGGGTCAGGGGTCAGGGGTCGGGTTAGGGT